TAATCCTCGAGTACTCGGCGGTGTGGAATGATTGGAAGTGTTCCTCCGGGGGCAGATAGACCGGTGCGGGGTCACAGCATGCAGTCTGACGTTGGGCGTTGCGCAGACGGGAGGGTGACAGAACACTGTGGAGGAAACATACCTGCACCCTTCCTGCTGATCTGGGCTCCGGAGGAGGCTCTCCCGGGGAGGGGGGAGGGGGAGCCGCACAGGATTCTGGGTGATGTAGTTTGTTCTCTAGGCTTAGTCACATGACTCTGTGCAATGACCTGACCTGCCAGGGAATAATAAGGATTAACCCTCGCCTCACTGAGGACTAATGGATTGGAGAATTAACCCTCGCCTTGCTGCCTGTGCACTGTCACTTTGGGTTAACCCTCGCCTTGCTGCCTGTGCACTGTCACTTTGGGTTAACCCTCGCCTTGCTGTCTGTGCACTGTGTCACTTTGGGTTAACCCTCGCCTTGCTGTCTGTGCATGGTTTTACTGCTGATTAACCCTCGCCTTGCTGCCTGTGCATTGCTTTACTGCTGATTAACCCTCGCCTTGCTGTCTGTGCATTGTTTTACATTAGGTTAACCCTCGCCTTGCTGCCTGTGCATTGCGTTACTGCTGATTAACCCTCGCCTTGCTGTCTGTGCATTGTTTTACATTAGGTTAACCCTCGCCTTGCTGCCTGTGCATTGCGTTACTGCTGATTAACCCTCGCCTTGCTGTCTGTGCATTGTTTTACATTAGGTTAACCCTCGCCTTGCTGCCTGTGCATTGCGTTACTGCTGATTAACCCTCGCCTTGCTGTCTGTGCATTGTTTTACATTAGGTTAACCCTCGCCTTGCTGTCTGTGAATTGCTTTACTGCTGATTAACCCTCGCCTTGCTGTCTATGCATTTACTTTGGAATAACCCTCGCCTTGCTGTCTTGTGCATTGTTTTACTGCTGATTAACCCTCGCCTTGCTGCCTATGCATTTACTTTGGATTAACCCTTGCCTTGCTGTACACACTGTTACATTCTGGATGAGGTCTTGCCTTGCCTCACGTTGCTGCCTACGTACCAGTTTAGTATGGATTAACCCCTGCCTGGCTATGGTAACAGTGTTCTAACATCGTCTTGTTTCAGACTCGTGATTGTACATCAGGTTAACCCCCTCCCAGCCGTCCGTCCGTGATTTCGCTGTGGATTAACCCTTGCCGTGCCGTGGATGAGCTGGCTTACTGTGACTCAACCCTCATCTTGCTATGTATAGAAAAGAGAACCCTGGATTAGGTCTATCGAGCGCACTCTTGTAACGGGGGTCCACCACAAGACAGTTTAGGGAAACGCGGCGTCCGGGGATTGTCCGGGTTGCCACCATTTCTTCAAGCGAAACCTGAAACACTCCGGCGACACACGGAGACGTTTTTGGGAGAAGGAGTCATGGCTCATTCATATGTAAATAGCTCCGCCCATTCATATGTAAATATCACAGTGGAGGGGGTCCAGTAGCCCCGATCTTAATTTTGGTTGCCCCCGTCTGCCTGATATCAGGGGTCCGGGTCTCAGCTGCCATGAAACCCGGACACAGCATTCGAAACCCGGATGAATCCGGGTAATTGACCTGCAGAGTATGGCAGCGTCCTTCTGTCCCTCGCTGACCATCCGAGTAGATCAGTGGAGCTGGGAGGCCAGCTGTAGAGTAGCTGTTGTAAAGTAGTCACCGCTCCCGGGATGGACTACAATCTCGTGTTTAGTTTACTCATTTGTATTGGGATTGTAGTCCATCCCGGGAGCGAGCTTGGTGCGGTGACTACTTCACAACACACACACAGAGACCATGGGGCACAGACGTAGCCCCCCCCTCAAGAAGGAAGGACAGTGTCAGAGATGATTGGAGGATCTACAGCCGAGTGATACACAAATAAGAGACATTTTGGTTAATATTTAAGGGACTTGAATGTCACCAGTGAGCCTAAGCCTCTGGTGGCGGCCATTTTGCTGTAGCCCTTGTGTGGGGACATTGAGGAATGAAGCTTCTGTTCTCAGCTGATTGGTTCTCTTCTGCCATTTTGTTGTAGCCCAGGAAAACCTGCCAATCACAGAAGAGCCATGATGCTTTTACCCATGATGCTGAGCGTCGGAGGGTGGAAACCACTCCTGGAGGAAGTGAGTGGGGGAGAGTGCGAGCAATGGAGGCAAACCAGACCGAGAAGATACTAAACCTCACCCTGGAGATCATCTACCTGCTGACCGGAGAGGTGAGGAGGATGCTGGGAGCGCCACCGACAAGTGCGTTTGTTTTATGTTTTTGCTTTCCAAGGGCAGAATTACCCCCAAAATTTGGGAGTCAACTTTGTTATTGCACCATTTTCCTTTTGTTTTACAGAAGCCGGGTAAAATATTAAAAACAAACCGTTCTATTGGCTAAAGACACATGCGTTACCGCGGCGCAAGAGTGCGACCCTGGCCTTAGGGCTTGTTTAGACTTTTGCGTTGCAGTAAGGCGCGGCGCCCTTCATTTTGAATGTCACCCCAACGCACGAAGGCAGTATAGTATATTATGTTATAAAATGAAGATTGCGTCTGATCTTCAGGATGTTTTGGTGCGTTAGCAGGCCGAGCAACATAGATGCGTATTGACGCACGGCAAAACTGTAAATTGATCCTTTGTATTTGGGGGTTTGAAAGAAAAAATTCACCGGCACTGGTGAGGCAACTAAAACCTGCCTCCAATGGATCACAATTCAAACAGCCAACGCTTTTCAGGGGCAACACTGTTCCCCCTTCATCAGGGCTAAGTCTTACAATGCCATACTTGTCAGAAGAGGGTCACATGACATAACTCTTATCTCTTAATAAACACTGATGAAGACCTGACCGGAGAGGTGAGGAGGATTCTGGGAGGTCACATGACATCACTCTTATCTCTTAATAAACACAGACCTGACCGGAGAGGTGAGGAGGATTCTGGGAGGTCACATGACATCACTCTTATCTCTTAATAAACACAGACCTGACCGGAGAGGTGAGGAGGATTCTGGGAATGACAGCTGGCGCCTAACGTGTGAGGTTTTCTGTAGTTGTTGTCAATGGAGATGGCTCCTAAAATCCTGCTGGCTCCTGGATTGGACAGACTGGTTGTCTGGGGTGGAGCCGATCAGCTGTGGCATGATTGGGTCTTTTAATTATTGGTGGTCACAGTCATAATTACTACTGAAGAATGATTTATTTAGCGAATCCGTTAGGTCATGATATAATTCCATTGCACCCGTCAGATCTAGCCACGGTTGCACATGTGGTTGGGGTTTGTTACTCTGGTGGCCAAAATGGCAGAGATTTTATGAACCTGAACCTACGTCTGCCTCATAAGAAGGTGTTCTGGAAATGTCTTCATGGCTGTTGTTGCTGTTCCTTCACAGGATCACATAGTGGTGAAAATGGCATCAGGGGATAAACAGGACCCCATTACAGCTCCTTCATCTCTGTCCCTGAAACCCGAGACAAATAACAAAAAAAAAATCCTAGAAGTCACCCAGAAGATCATCAAGCTGCTGACAGGAGAGGTGAGCGATGTCGGGAATTCTGGGACATGGTCCAGGAACAGACAAGGGATGTGTCTGGATGGTGACTGTATCATTGTGTGTGTCAGGTTCCTATAAGGTGTCAGGACGTCACCGTCTATTTCTCCATGGAGGAGTGGGAGTATCTAGAAGGACAGAAAGACCTCTACAAGAACGTCATGATGAAGGATCAGCCGCCCCTCACATCACCGGGTAAGAGGAGAGAGCAGTACGGAGGGTCCACCTAGATCCCCCATCATCTGATACACACATAGAAACAATGTATTCAGTCAGTGTGTGTGTGTGTTTCCTACAGATGGATCCAGTAAGAGGAACCCACCAGAGAGATGTCCCCGTCCTCTGTATTCCCGGGATTCCACAAAGGAACATCATGAGATCCCTCAGACCCGTCCTCTGTATTCCCGGGATTCCACAAAGGAACATCATGAGATCCCTCACCATGATCAGGTAGGTGGGTCTATACTGATCTCAAGCTTGAGTCTAAACTGTGTTGAATTATATTCTTCTGTGTAGGTTATTAGCGCTCAGTCATTTTGTGATTTTAGGGGAAAGATAAGAAAATTGTAGATAAAATGGATGGATCCAATAACAAAAAGCCACCAGAGAGTTGCCCCGGTCCACTGGATTCCCGGGATTCCACACTGGAAGATCACACCATCCCTCACCAGGATCAGGTGGGTGGTAGAACTCTAGACTCCATAAGGTTTGAGATTTATATTCTCATTTGTACTGTTTCCAAGTTAAAGATATTATTGTTATTTTCTGGGATTAGGATGAAGAACCGTTTCACCTTATAGTGAAGGTTGAACCAGGCGAAGAAGAGACCAATGAGAGAGGAGATCTTCAGTCGTCGGAAGATCCTGACATTTTGGTTACAATTATAAAGGAGGAACCTTCTTCCGATATGGAAACAGGTAAACGATAAACCATCTCCGGTTGGTTAAAGGATTGTGAATTGGTTTTACGTTGGTTCATTTGTGGACAGTTTATGCTCCAGGGATATCATCATAATATAGTAACCTGGTTGTGTAATGTTGGTTTCTAGATCTGAATGTGTTGGTATTATAATTCCAAACAAGGTGATTCATCCCTCAATATAACGTCATGTGACCAACAAATGAGGAGATACTGTACACCATATGAAGGTCCATCTCCATTCCTCAATATAACGTCATGTCCCCAACAAATGAGGAGGAGATACTGTACACCATATGAAGGTCCATCTCCATTCCTCAATATAACGTCATGTCCCCAACAAATGAGGAGGAGATACTGTACACCATATGAAGGTCCATCTCCATTCCTCAATATAACGTCATGTGACCAACAAGTGAGGAGGAGATACCGTACACCATATGAGAGGTCCATCTCCATTCCTCAATATAACCTCCATTCCTCATGTTCTCAACAAATGAGGTGGCGGAAGGTCTATCTCTATAACAATGCCATCAACGTAAATATACAATGACCCGATGTGCCTTGGTTAGTTTGTATTGTTTTTATATTGGTCTTATGATTGAATCCAGTAGAACTTCAGAGCTTTGTGAATCCGTTGACCACTAGACCACCATACATGACTGCAAAATATGAAGAATGAATATGAATTTACTGCTAATAACTTTTCTTCTCAACAGATGGAAACGATGTCCAGAATTCCGCAGAGGGACCTCTTATTTTATCTTCCGGTTGTTATGCAAATGGTAATTCCATCGGTCCAAGTATTCTCGAGGAACGTTTCTCAGAGACACATGGAGACACTAAGTTGTACCCATGTCAAGAATGTGATGAATATTTTACAACAAAAACATCCCTTGCCTTACATGAGAAGACTCACGTAGGGGAGCATCTGTTTCCATGTTTGGAGTGCGGGAAATGTTTTACGACCAAATCGAATCTTCTTAAGCACCAAAAACATCACGTCGGACTGCTGCCCTTTCCATGTCCAGATTGCGGGAAGTCTTTCGAATTCAAATCGGGACTCGTCCATCATCTGAGGCACCACACAGACGAGAGGCCTTACTCCTGCTCCGAGTGCGGCCAGAGCTTTAAAGAGAAGTATCACCTGATGACGCATCAGAGGATCCACACGGGCGAGACTCCGTTTTCGTGTGCGGAGTGCGGGAAATGTTTCACCCGGAAGCACACGCTCCTCATCCACCAGCAAAACCACCTAGAGAAGCGACGGGACAAAATCCTAAAAAAGAAAGAGCAGCTGCAGAAGCTGAGCATCAAGGAGGGATCGTTGATATGCTTGGAGTGCAATAAAACGTTTAAAAAGAAGTGCGACCTGTACGTACATCAGAGAACTCACACGGGCAAGGAGATCTTTTCGTGCCCGGACTGCGAAAAACTGTTCGTGAAAAAATATCAGCTCCTCGTACACCAGAGAGTGCACACCGGAGAGAAGCCCTACTCGTGTACCGAGTGCGACAAGTCCTTCAAGACGAAGTCGGAACTCAACACGCACCAAAGAGTCCACACCACGGAAAAGCCCTTCGCGTGCAACGAGTGCGAGAAGTCGTTCAAGAAAAAGTCCCACCTCATCCTGCACCAGAGGGACCACACCGGCGAAAAGCCCTTTCCGTGTTTGGACTGCGAGAAGTCGTTCAAGTCGGGCACCCTCCTCACTCTGCACCGGAGGGTCCACACCGGCGAGAAGCCCTTCTCCTGCTCGGAGTGCGGCAGATGCTTCTCTCAAAAAGCGCACCTGAGTAAGCATCTCAAACTCCACGCGGTCAAGCAGCCCCTTTCTTCTTCCCAGTCCCCGATGAGTTGTGTGCAGGAAGAGCAGCCAACCTCAAATGAACAATCCCCCAGCCATTGATGACAAATACCCGCCGGAGCATCAGCCAGGGTGACGCCTTTAACGACCCGATGGAGTCTGGTGGACTATGTCATATAATGGACTCTTGTATCTCGATTGGACTCCAGTGGTGGGATTGCCCCGTCATAGTTCCTTCTTCTGTTCCGGCCAAGCGTGACGGGTTCCATATTCATCTGGTTGTGTCTGTCTGGCTTTTATTATATAAAGTGAAGAGATCCAAAAGAAATTCAGCAATAAACTTTCTTGGCCATAATTCTGTCCCAGTTCTGGTTCTGTCCTCTTTCATAATGGGCTCAGCAGCTGTGACGACCCGGGACCTCAGCACAGGGATGGGGGGATCCCCTCATAATGGGCACAGTAGGTGTACAGACCCGGGAACGCAGCACAGGGGTGGGGGGGAGCTGCTCATAATGGGCACAGAAGGTGTACAGACCTGGGACCTCAGCGCAGGGATGGTGGGAGCCCCTCATAATGGGCACAGTAGGTGTACAGACCCGGGAACGCAGCACAGGGGTGGGGGGGAGCTGCTCATAATGGGCACAGAAGGTGTACAGACCTGGGACCTCAGCGCAGGGATGGTGGGAGCCCCTCATAATGGGCACAGTAGGTGTACAGACCCGGGAACGCAGCACAGGGGTGGGGGGGAGCTGCTCATAATGGGCACAGAAGGTGTACAGACCTGGGACCTCAGCGCAGGGATGGTGGGAGCCCCTCATAATGGGCACAGTAGGTGTACAGACCCGGGAACTCAGCACAGGGATGGTGGGGAGCTCCTCATAATGGGCACAGATGGTGTACAGACCTGGGAACATAGTGCAGGGATGGTGGGAGCCCCTCATAATGGGCACAGCGGGTGTACAGACCCGGGAACTCAGCACAGGGATGGTGGGAGCCCCACATAATGGGCACAGCGGGTGTACAGACCCGGGAACGCAGCACAGGGGTGGGGGGGAGCTGCTCATAATGGGCACAGAGGGTGTACAGACCTGGGACCTCAGCGCAGGGATGGTGGGAGCCCCTCATAATGGGCACAGCGGGTGTACAGACCCTGGAACTCAGCGCAGGGATGGCGGGAGCACCTCACATTTGGCACATCAGGCGTACAGATCCAGGAACTCGGCACGGGGATCTCACCAACAGAGTCCTTGAGAGACAGAAGGGATCAACAGGTGGTTTAGTTCTGATGTCTACCAGAAACTGGAATAATTATTTTGGATCATGTAAGACTTATTCCTCATCATAACCCCAAGTAGAAGAACCGGACACAAGAGGAGAAGAGGGCCCTTCCCAAATGATCGTGCAGTCCGGGTGGTGGAAGTGTAGAAGGACATTGAGGAGCTCGATGGGGATTAGAGGGGACGTTGTACTCATGAAAGATGTGGAGGGTTTAGTCTATGGACCTAAAGATATCTAAACCTTAACAATGAACCTTCGTAACGTTCTTCCTTTTTGATCTGTTACAACAAAACATTTTTAATGGTATATTTATGTGTTCGTGGTACCCGTTGGTCCTGCCGGGAATTCAGCCGGCTGATCACTTCCTGTGCTCTCTGCTTTGCTGCATTCTTATCAGTTACATTGTTTCTAGCTGTCTCTAGCTGTGTTTTTTTCCTGTAATAGGGTGACAACTATGTTCCTCCATAGATACAGTACAATGAGTGAACGTTGTCACCGTAGGACAGGAAGTGTGTTTATTGGCAGGATCACCGAGGGAAAAAAGCCTAAAAAGAGAAAACGAATGCCGCCGCCACATCCAAGGGGCGGGCGAGCTGCAATAATTGACATTATTTGGTTACAATGTAAGGAATTGGCCGTTTCCTCTAGAGAGGCACCGCGGTGGACATTTGATATGTTGAGGAACATCGGAGGTCGTTATACACGGCCTCTGATGAGCGTTTCACCTCTAGGGCTGTGCAAGCGGCGTCGTACATCAAATATATATGTCAACTGTTTTACCGGTCAAGATATTTGTAATTCTGTTCAGCCAGTCTTGTGACTCACTCACGCCGTACAGAAAGGAAGCTGACGCATCTATTCAGTAGCTGAGGTTCTCTGCTTTGCCAACCCCTTCAGCCGGCTCATTGGCTTGTGAATGAGCATTACCATGCCAGTCGGTTCCCAGCTCAGCCTCTTCCTCCTCCTTCACCCGAATCTTAAAATGACCGTCCACCCCCCGCCAACATGGGGAACAGAGAAAAGGAGGAGGGGGTAGAAAGGGGTTTGACCGACGTACTTTGATCTAAAAACTCTGATTGGATGGTTTGTGCGCTATTCTTATTTTTTACATTTTTTTTTAAATCGGTCAATAAAAGTTTTGCAGATGCTCAGAGTCTCATCGTTGAACAATTTCACAATCGGCCCGTACAGGTCACCATCCCGGATTCATTATTCCTTTTCCCCATTACTGCGACAGGGATCACTACAACTCTCAGCAGAGCCACGATTATCTAAGTGATTTCGGCTGATGGGAGGTGACGCAGAAGGGTTAATGTACAGAGAATAGAAGGGGTAGTAAAAGGATTAATGGGCAGAGAATGGGAAATAAAGGGTTAATATTCAGAGAATGTGTGTAGGCGGTAAAGGGTTAATGGGGGTAGTAAATGGCTAATAGAGGATGGGAGGAAGGGTTATGGTATAGTGAATGGAGAAGGGGATGTAAAAGGTTAATGTATATTGGTGGGATGGGGACAATGGTGCGGGCAGTACAATGTTAATGTATGATAAAGTGTATGTAAAGGGTTAATGTGCAGTGAAAGGTTAATTTAAAGTGATTCGGAGGTAGTAGCAAGGGGTTAATAGTGAATATGAGGGGGGGCTGGTCATATACAGTAATGGGTTAATATAGTGAATGAGAAAGGAGGAGTGAATGAGTAGGGAGGGATACTAAAGGGTTAATGTACATTGGATGGAAGAGGGCAGTATCGGGTGGATCTGCAGTGAATGGGGGGGAGGGGGGGAGCGGTAGTGAAGGATTATTGCACAGTTTATGGGAAAGGACATGTAAAGGGTTAAATTACAGTAAGTGGGAGGTAGGAAAAAAGATTTTATGGGAGGGTTGTAAAGGGTTAATGTACTGTGATTGGGAGGGAGGGACAGTATAAAAGGTTAATGTACTGTGATTGGGAGGGACAGTAATGGGTTAATGTATTGTGATTGGGAGGGAGGGACAGTAAAGGGTTAATGTACTGTGATTGGGAGGGAGGGACAGTAAAAGGTTAATGTACTGTGATTGGGAGGGACAGTAATGGGTTAATGTATTGTGATTGGGAGGGAGGGACAGTAAAGGGTTAATGTACTGTGATTGGGAGGGACAGTAATGGGTTAATGTATTGTGATTGGGAGGGAGGGACAGTAAAGGGTTAATGTACTGTGATTGGGAGGGACAGTAATGGGTTAATGTATTGTGATTGGGAGGGAGGGACAGTAAAGGGTTAATATACAGAGGATGATATTAAAGGGTGAATGAGATGGTGAAATTAAAAGGTTAATGTATCATAAATAGCAGGCGGGGATACTAATGGGTTAATGTATCATGAATGAGACGGGGCAGTTAGGGGTTAATATGCAGCGAATTGAAGGGGGGTGATACCAATAGGTAAACCTACTGTGCATAAGGGGACAGTAATGGGTTAATGTTCAGTATATGGGAGGGGGCAGTAATGGGTTAATGTTCAGTATATGGGAGGGGGCAGTAATGGGTTAATGTTCAGTATATAGGAGGGGGCAGTAATGGGTAATGTTCAGTATATGGGAGGGGGCAGTAATGGGTTAATGTTCAGTATATAGGAGGGGGCAGTAATGGGTTAATGTTCAGTATATAGGAGGGGGCAGTAATGGGGTGATGTACATTGAATGGGACTGGGAATACTAAAGGGTTAATATTTAGTGACTAGCTGGAATGGAGGAGTAAAGGGTTAATATGCACCCCCGTCAATTCATATTTTGCACTCAAAGGAAGGAGGACAGTAAAGGGTTAATGTACAGTAAATGGGAGGGGGCATAGTAAAGGGTTAATGTACAGTAAATGGGAGGGGGCATAGTAAAGGGTTAATGTACAGTAAATGGGAGGGGGCATAGTAAAGGGTTAATGTACAGTAAATGGTCGGTGGGGGAGTAAAGGGTTGGAATGGGGAGAGGAGATCTAAAGAGGTCATGAATGGGAGGATGGCAATAAAGGGTTAATGTACAGTGAATAGGATGTGGGATAGTAAAGGGTTAAGGTACAATCAATGGGGGTAGGGTAAGGGTTAAATCTGATGGTGGTTTTCAGTCTGGTCTTTTGGGCTACAACAAAATGCCTGCCCGAGAGCCAATCACGAAAGAGCCCGCCTCTTTTTACCCATCGTGCCCGGCACTGGAGGAGGAGCCCCAATGCTCCAGGAGCTGAGAGCAGAGTGTGAGCTATGGAGCCAAACAGAAGCCGGCTCAGTGAGCAGATATTCCGGCTGACCCTGGAGATCCTCCGCCTGCTGACCGGAGAGGTGAGGAGCCATTCACCGCCGTCACTACAAGTCACCGTCGCACGTTCGCTCGCACGTTTCCCCCGCTGTGACAATTCACCAAATTATTATTAATCAATTATTTATTTTGTTATTTTTTTTCTGCTGACAAAAAACATCTTTTTTTTTTTTTCAAAATTAATTTTAATTAGCCGTCTGCCGAAAATGGATTTCTCCCGTTCTTATCTAACGCCGATAATATTTTTCTTTCACTTAGAAAGCCGCATCCGATCTCTGCCATCAAATCTAATTACAACGTCACGATTGTGACCTCTCTTCCTCTCTAGGGTTATACAGTGGTGAGAAGGATATCCCTGATGCCCAACCGAAATAGTGATAAAAAGATCCTCAAAGTCACCCAGAAGATCATCGAGCTGCTGACGGGAGAGGTGAGCGGTGCCGGGAATTCTGGGACATGATCCAGGAACAGACAAGGGATGTGTCTGGATGGTGACTGTATCATTGTGTGTGTCAGGTTCCTATAAGGTGTCAGGATGTCTCTGTCTATCTCTCCATGGAGGAGTGGGAGTATCTAGAAGGACACCGGGATCTCTACAAGGACGTGGTGATGGAGAATGAGCTGCCCCTCACATCACCGGGTAAGAGGAGAGAGCAGTACGGAGGGTCCACCTAGATCCCCCCATCATCTGATACACACATAGAAACAATGTATTCAGTCAGTGTGTGTGTTTCCTACAGATGGATCCAGTAAGAGGAACCCACCAGAGAGATGTCCCCGCCCTCTGTATTCCGCACAGGAACATCATGAGATCCCTCAGGCCTGTCCTCTGTATTCCCGGGATTCCACCCAGGAACATCATGAGATCCCTCAGGCCCGTCCTCTGTATTCCCAAGACTCCACACAGGAACATCATGAGATCCTTCACCAGGATCAGGTAGAGGTGCACTTGAGAGTACAACAAAGTGATTCCACACTGCATGTTCTGTGGATTCTGTAAATCGAGATTTCTGTGTTATGTTGATTCTTTTTAGGGGGAAGATGTGGTTACTATTAAAGCCGAAGTGTATGACAATGAAGAAGAACCGTATCTGACGAGTGATGAGCCGTGTAAAGTGGTGGAAATGCCTCCAGAGATCTGCACGGGTGAGAAATGAACGCTCAATCCAGAAGAGTTTCAGATTCTCCTTGTTCAGTCACTACAACAATGTCTTCTTCTGTTCCTCTCCTTAATTCTGTATGTTTCCTACAGATGGATCCAGTAAGAAGAACCCACCAGAGAAATGTCCCCGTCCTCTGTATCCCCGGGATTCCATGGAGGAACATCAGGAGATCCCTCAGGCCCGTCCTCTGTATTCCTGGGATTCCACACAGGAACATCATGAGATCCCTCACCATGGTCAGGTAGATGGGACTCAGGATGTCAAACTCAAACTGTATTATATTTATCTTTTACGTACTCTCAAGTTAAGTGTTCACAATTTGTAATTTAAGGGGAAAGAAGTGATTGGTATAAAAATTGAGGTCAAAGACGAAGAAGAGACGCATGTGAGGGGTGAGCAACTGTCTATGAAGGAAGCTGAAATGATGGTGACCATCACAAAGGAGGAATCGTGTCTAGATAACAGTACAGGTGAGTAAAGGGATGCAGATTGACCAGAACCAGCAGACCTTCACACCATCCGTTAAAAGGAGACTCTGTTATAGATTGTAGACCATCAGGGTTGACATATTTTTGGGGAAGTTGACCTAGAAAGGTCTTTATTTTGTTATTAGTTTTAGGTTAGGAAATTTGGTTAAAAGAAAATCAGTTGTTTCCTTGATATAGAAAACATTGTTGGCCCCTAAGAACGTCGTCTATGTACCAACTCCACTCAACCACATTGAACTTACTCTCAATAGTAATCAAACACTTGTTTCCAATAGGCGGATACGATAGCTGGAATACCTTAGAGGGACGTCTTATTTTATCTCCAGATTATAACGAAGATGATAACAGCCTGGTCCAGTATTCTCCCGGCTCTGACCACACCCCCAGAAATCACAACATTGAGTTTCTACTTTCCTGTTCTGAGTGTGGCAAAGGTTTCAATAAAAAATACGAACTCCACGTGCATCAGAGGGACCACGCTGGTAAGAAGATCTACTCTTGCCCGGACTGCCATAAATCCTACATCAAAAACTGTGACCTGGTCGCACACCAGAGAATCCACACCGGGGAGAAGCCCTTCTCGTGTTCCGAGTGCGGAAAGTCGTTCACCCAGAAATCGCAGCTCACTGCCCACCAGAGGGTCCATTCCGACCACAAGCCCTTTTCCTGTTACGAGTGCAAGAGGGCCTTCATCAAAAAACAAGAACTGGTCCGACACGAGAGGACCCACACCGGGGAGAAGCCCTTCTCGTGTTCTGAGTGCGGAAAGTCTTTCAGCCTCAAGTCGCAGCTCAAAACGCACCACAGGGTCCACACCGGGGAGAAGCCCTTTCCCTGTTCCGAGTGCGGCCGATGCTTCTCCAGTAAGGCCAATCGTGATAAGCATTTAAGAGTCCACACGGGAGAAAAGCCGTTCTCCTGCCCCGAGTGCTGGAAATGTTTTGCCCAAAAGGCGACTCTAATTTTCCACCAGAGGACACACGCCACCCGAGGCCGCAATAAAACTTACGGTGGTGTTTCATAGCTCACGTCATCCCGTCTGTGGAACAATTGTGTGATACCAAAGGGTCAGCCCACCCAAAAGGGGATATTTTAGGTTTAGGTGTGTCATGAAAACTACTTTGACCCGAGAGGAGCTCTCGGAGATCTACCTGCAGATTACATTCAACTCAAACTCCTTGTCCTCATCTGCGTTCCCATTGAGGAGATGTTTTCCTTCTTTTAGTTGTGTCATCCAGACAGGAACTGAGGGGGGATACTTCCATCAAGGACAGGACCAATGGTGGGGTTCAGACTGTCCTTCCTTCCTTCCTTCCTATGACACTTAAAGACATTCATCAAATAAAGTTCTATATGCTAACCAGAGCGTGGACTTCTGTTTCAAATTTACTAGGGATGCACCGATACCGTTTTTTCGGCATTGAGTACCAATATTTATATTTCGGTACTCGCCGATACCGAGTACCGGTACTTCCGGTAGCATAGAGCCCGCTTCCATGGCAATCATGGAGCCAGGCTGCGTGTCATTACCCACGGCTCGGCTTCTTGATTGCTCGGGAAGCCAACTCCATTCTGTTTGCTGATTGGCCAGGAAGCCGGCTTCCCAGCCAGTCGGCATTGAGGCCGGCCAAACAGATCTGACAATATGGTGACACGACCCCCCACCCTGCAGGACCCTCATTCCCCTCACATAGATCCTCAGCAGCATTCATTATCGTACCAGTCCCTCGGCCAGACACCGCTCTCCAAGATCTGCCCGCGTCTCCTGCGTGTATACAGCGCCCACGTGATCGGCCCTCAGCCTGCTACTGCGCATATGTAGACTGCCCAGCTCTCTCATGTACAAGTCATGCGAAGTAGCAGGCTGAGGGCCGATCACGTGGGCGCTGTACACGCAGGAGACGCGGGCAGATCTTGGAGAGCGGTGTCTGGCCGAGGGACTGGTACGGTAATGACTGCTGCTAAGGATCTACAGGTGAAACTGGAATGCCGGCCCACACTGCCAAAAGCACCAAAACCCGGTTCAATGACCGTGGGATTACTGTGCTTGATTGGCCAGCAAACTCGCCTGACCTGAACCCCATAGAGAATCTACGGGGCATTGCCAAGAGAAAGATGAGAGACATGAGACCGAACAATGCAGAAGAGCTGAAGGCCTCGCCGGTCAGGTCTGTGTTTTATTGATAGGAGTGATGTCATGGGACCTCCCAGAATCCTCCTCACCTCTCCGGTCAGGTCTGTGTTTTATTTATAGAGATAAGAGTGATGTCATGTGACCTCCCAGAATCCTCCTCACCTCTCCGGTCATGTCTGTTTTATGAATAGAGATCGGAGTGATGTCATGTGACCTCCCAGAATCCTCCTCACCTCTACGGTCATGTCTGTGTTTTATGAATAGAGATCGGAGTGATGTCATGTGACCTCCCAGAATCCTCCTCACCTCTCCGGTCAGCAGGAAGATGATCTCCAGGTAGGGTTGCCACCTGTACGGGATTCACCCGGACAGTCCGGGTTTTGATTGCTGTGTCCGGGTTTCATGGCAGCTGAGACCCCGGACACATGATGTCAGGCAGATAGGGGCAACCAAAATTAATATAGGGGCTACTGCCCCCCCCCCACTGAAAATAGTCTTGACTGTGATATTTACATATGAATGGGTGGCGCTATTTACATATGAATAAGCCGCAACTCATTCTACCCCAAAAATGTCCGTGCGTCGCTTGAGTGTTCGGGTTTCGCTGAAAGAAAAGGTGGCAATCCTATCTCCAGGGTGAGGTCCAATACCCTCTCAGTCACGTTGTTGCAGTTTGGCTCCATTACTCCCTCACTTCCTGCAACAACAGTGCCCATTCTCCAATGCTCGGCATCCTGAGTAAAAGGCAGCCTCTTCGGGTAGTGGCTCTTATCGGCCATTTTGTCGTAGCCCAGAAGGAAAGTGGAGCCGCTTTGCTGAGCTACAACAAAATGGCCAAGGAGAACCAATCACCGTCCAGTCTGCATTTCCCCCATGATGCTGGCTGTTGGAGGATGGGCACTATTGTTGCAGGAAGTGAATGGAGCAGAGTGCGAGCGATGGAGCCGAACTGCAACAGCCTGACGGAGAGGATATTACGGCTCACCCTGGAGATCATCTACCTGCTGACCGGAGAGGTGAGAAGGATTCTGGGGGCGCGCCCGACAAGTGCGCTTAATTTTTAATTGTCTATACCCGCTAGAAAAAAAAACTTTCCTATACTTTTTCAGCAGGAAATTGACGGGACGCTTTGTTTGTTTACAGTTTTTAGACAATTTATTTTGATACATTTTTGTAATTTCTGTTCCATTTTGTTTATTTCGATAAATTGCTTGCCTTCAAATATATATATACTGTACCGGGCACATGACAATAAACTCTAAAGCAGAAATCATTCTTAAAGCTTGCAGCGGGACTACCCTACTACTCAGTGGCGTCACAAGGGGGGTGCAGGGGGTGCGGCCCACACCCGGGTGACATCAAAGTCTGGCACTCAGTCATGGACCGAGAGCCCGACAGTTTAAGGACAGAGGAGGGGGTGAACCTTATCCCACCTGGTGAATGTCCCCTCTTCTCTCTGCTTGGTGATGGCCGCCGGCAGGTATCAATAAGATGACCGTGCATGCGTGATGACATCACAGCGGGGTGTCACCCGGTATCCGCTCCGGGTGACACCTGGCCTCGGGACGCCCCTGCTACCACTCCTTTGGTCTATGGAGGAAAATAACAAAGTTATACTCACCTGACCCTCGGAGTCGGCCGGCTGTGACATTACTCCTTCCAGCCACCTCCTCCATATGGTATCCTATCAGGGCAAAAAAGGGACCACGAGGGCAAAAAGTGGCAACTTCTTTTGTTGGAAATGTGTGCGCTAATTTCTCCTCTACCTTCACAGGATAACATTGTTGCAAAAAAGACATCAGAAGATGGACAGAACCCCATTATGGTTCCTCTACGTTCCCTACTGCTTCCAGAGAGAAATAATGACAAGAAGATTCTAGAAGTCACCCAGAAGATCATTGAGCTGCTGTCGGGAGAGGTGAGCGGTGCCGGGAATTCTGGGACATGGAACAGACAAGGGATGTGTCTGGGTGGTGACTGTATCATTGTGTGTGTCAGGTTCCTATAAGGTGTCAGGACGTCTCAATGAAGGAATGGCGGTACCAGGACATCATAATGGAGGTCCACCAGAAGGTCACATCGTCGGGTAAGAGGAGACCCTATTGTCAAGGAGAGAGAGTCCATCATCTGATACACACATAGAAACAATGTATTCAGTCAGTGTGTGTGTTTCCTACAGATGGATCCAGTAAGAGGAACCCACCAGAGAGATGTCCCCGTCCTCTGTATTCCTGGGATTCCACACAGGAACATCATGAGATCCCTCAGGCCCGTCCTCTGTATTCCCGGGATTCCACACAGGAACATCATGAGATCCCTCAGGCCCTTCCTCTGTATTCCCGGGATTCCATACAGGAAGATCCCACCATCCCCCACCATGGTCAGGTAGTTGGGACTAAGGATATCAAACTCAAACTTGGCTCTAAACTGTAATCTAGTATACTTAAAGGAGAACTATGAGGAGAGTGAAAATCACTCAGCCTCATAGTTCGAGCTGACCTGTGACAATGAAACTGCCACACGTCGGCTCAGTAGATCGGGAAGTGAGCGAACACATACATATACATATCGTTATACATAACTCATTATTCTGTGATTTGCGGGGAAATAAGGGATTAGTTTACAATCATCGATAGTTACATTATAATTTGTACATTAGCATCATTTTTACTATTATAATTCACTTTTCTTTTCAGAGTGGAAAAATTAGCAATATTGCTATAAAAGACGAGGTAAAAGAAGAGAATGGTGTTATGGAGGAGTGGGAGTATCTAGAAGGACACCGGGATCTCTACAAGGGCGTCGTGATGGAGAATGAGCCGCCCCTCACATCACCGGGTAAGAGGAGAGAGCAGTACGGAGGGTCCACCTAGATCCCCCATCATCTGATACACACATAGAAACAATGTATTCAGTCAGTGTGTGTGTTTCCTACAGATGGATCCAGTAAGAGGAACCCACCAGAGAGATGTCCCCGTCCTCTGTATTCCCGGGATTCCACACAGGAAGATCATGAGATCCCTCAGACCCCTCCTCTGTATTCCCGGGATTCCACACAGGAAGATCATGAGATCCCTCAGGCCCGTCCCCTGTATTCCCGGGACCCCACACAGGAACATCATGAGATCCCTCAGACCCATCCCCTGTATTCCCGGGACCCCACACAGGAACATCATGAGATCCCTCAGGCCCGTCCTCTGTATTCCTGGGATTCTACACAGGAAAATCTCACCATCTCCCACCATGATCAGGTAGAAAATTTACAATCATTAATAATGACATAACAATCTGTACATTGGCTGCCTTGTTGCTATTTTACATTTACTTCCAGAGTGGAAAAATGAGCAATGTTGCTATTAAAAAAGAGATAAAAGAAGAAGAAGAAGAGGAGGATGGTGTTATGAAGGAGTTGGACTTATTAGAAGGTCACCGGAATCTCTACAAGGAAGTCATGATGGAGAATGAGCCGCCCCTCACATCACCGGGTAAGAGGAGAGAGCAGTACGGAGGGTCCACCTAGATCCCCCATCATCTGATAGACCAGCCTTACCCTTAAGTAACCCTTGGAAAAAAATGTTAGGTCTTGGGGCACTCCTAAAATAATTTTCTGGTCTACAGCTTATGAGACGTTAGCCTGATCAATGAGTTAAGCAGAAGTGCACATTGGTGCTCAGTGGTAAATGTATTTCTCTCTTTCTACTGCGGTGGAAACGTAAGATCGCTCTTATGTGCATAACGAACTCCTTTAAGCCCAACTTCTCCTCCCCTGTCCTGCTCCCTCTTCCTTCCTCATCACTGGAAGATCTCACATCATTGACAGTATGAGTTCGTTCCTTGGGACAGTTAAAAACCTACAGCCTCCTCCCTTCTCCTGCCCCTCCACTCCCAACACTTACTCTTCCTGGCACACTGCCCTGAGGGATATTAAAGCCACCACTGGGTTGATAGACCCTAAGGTTTCACCTCACTCTAGGGCTCTGTGGAACTCCACATGAGAACCATGTAATAAACACATAGAATCAATGTATTCAGTCAGTGTGTGTGTTTCCTACAGATGGATCCAGTAAGAGGAACCCACCAGAGAGATGTCCCCGTCCTCTGTATTCCCGGGATTCCACACAGGAACATCATGAGATCCCTCAGACCCATCCTCTGTATTCCCGGGATTCCACACAGGAAGATCTCACCGTCCCTCACCATCGCCAGGTAGATAGACGTCAGGATGTCAAACTCGAATATGATTCTTAACTGTATTAGATGATAGTCTTCTCTATAGTCTCGGGATAAGAGTGCCCATAATAATTTTGTCATTTTAGGGGGAAGAAGTGATGGGTATAAAAATTGTGATTAAGGAGGAAGAAGAGACGTACATGAGGGATAATCAAATGTCTATAAAAGAAGATGAAGTGATGGTGACCATTACAAAGGAGGAATCTTGTCTAGATATCACCGCAGGTATGTATTATATGCAGAGTATGCAGCACTTGACATTATAGTTTGTCAAGTTTATCTCCATTCCTCAATATAACGTCATGTCCCCAACAAATGAGGAGGAGATACTGTACACCGTATGAAGGTCCATCTCCATTCCTCAATATAACGTCATGTGACCAACAAATGAGGAGGAGATACTGTACACCGTATGAAGGTCCATCTCCATTCCTCAATATAACGTCATGTGACCAACAAATGAGGAGGAGATACTGTACACCGTATGAAGGTCCATCTCCATTCCCCAATATAACGTCATGTGACCAACAAATGAGGAGGAGATACTGTACACCGTATGAAGGTCCATCTCCATTCCTCAATATAACGTCATGTGACCAACAAATGAGGAGGAGATACTGTACACCATATGAAGGTTTCCATCTTATTTTATGAGTATAATGTAATCATCCCAACAAATGAAGCCAAGGAAAGGTCCATCTCCCTTACTTTCCATAACAATATCATCTCTGTATGTACACCTTCACCCATTGTGCCATTGAAGGTTTGGTTGTATAGTATATTTCTTTCCAACAGGTGAAGACAATGGCTGGGATACCTCAGAAGGACATCTTACATTATCTCCAGAAGATGATGACTCGGCTCTAAACTCTCCAGAAGGAAGCATTGTTACTCAAAATGTACATCAGAAGACACAGACAAGGAAGTGCTCATTTTCTTGTTCGGAGTGCGGGAAGGGCTTTAACGGGAATCACGCTCTTACGAATCACCAGCGAACCCACACCAACGAGCGGCCATTTTCTTGTCCGGATTGCGGCAAACGATTCAAGGTCAAATTCTGTCTTGATCGACACGTAAAACTCCATGAAAATAACGATTCGCTGTCCTGTTTAGAGTGCGGCGAGTCTTTTGAAAAGAAGTACGACCTCCTGGTACACCAGAGGGGCCACATGGGTAAGGAGGTCTTTCCTTGCCTGGAATGCAAAAAGACGTTCTTAAAGAAATATGACCTGGCCGTACACCAGAGGACGCACTCCGGGGAGAAGCCCTACTCATGTTCTGAGTGCAGCAAATCCTTCAAGAACAGAAGAGACCTGGTTCCACACCAGAGAATCCACACGGGGGAGAAGCCCTTCTCGTGTTCCGAGTGCGGAAAGTCCTTCACCCACAAATCGCAACTCAAGACGCACCAGAAGGTCCACACCGGGGAGAAGCCCTTTTCCTGTTCCGAATGCGGCAAATCCTTCCCCAGCAAAGGGAACCGCGATAAGCACATGAGGATCCACACCGGGGAGAGGCCGTTTTCCTGTTCAGACTGCGGGAAGTGTTTTGCGCAGAAGGTGACCCTAATTATCCACCAGAGGACGCACACCATGTGAGACCCTCACGGGGGCCACGTCTGAGACTGAAGCAGCATGGAAGGGTCAGCCAACCCAAATGGAATGTTTTAGTTTTAGGTGTCTTGGCTGCCCCCTCCCCTCACGTGACCCTATGAGATGCCACCTGAGGCTGCTCGTTATAGGAACGGCTCTGCCAGTGCACCAAGTAGTGGGCCATGCACCGGAGTTGCCGCAGCACGCCTGCCATGCGTTGTTCTGCTCTGCGTTAGAAAGAAATGGGTCGTGCCCGATCTGGCTGCTTTGTAGTACCTCGGCGGTCCATTTATAATGATGTATCGGAATGCACCGCCTTAGTATTAAAAGGCCCCAATCTATTTTTTTAGAGACATAGGCAATCAAAGAAAATGGAGGACGGGAACAATGGTAGGGTTCGGGCCCGTCCGTCCTCCTTACCTTACATAAAGGTAATTGTGGGACGGCAAAAAATAAAGTTCTCATTGGTAAACCATGGCACGGACTCTTGCCTTCTTTTATGTGGACTTTGTGTGGTCACATGACACGCAGGTCCCTTCTCCTTTGCCTGAGTGTCACTGATGTAATGCCATCAGCGCCATTTTCTCCATCATTGTGCTGTGAGTATAGATTGGCGTTTTTACACCCCCCCCCAGGTGGTGGGCCCATGATGCCCTGCAATTACAGGAAGTAGGGTGAATTATGCTGGGTAGCATTCAACCCAGAGGCGGTGTGGCACTCGATTGCAGAGCGGGTAAGTCGGCCGGAGAATGCGCCAGAGAGATTATAGACAGAGATTCTTTTTTAACTATTGATAAAAGGTAATACACATTTTAAGAAAGTGGAAATAAGGCGGGGCTCCTGGGCCCCACTGCAGCCTGCTCCTGAGCCCTACCACAGCCTGCTCCTGAGCCCTACCACAGCCTGCTCCTGAGCCCTACCCCAGCCTGCTCCTGAGCCCTACCACAGC